TCTAATATTTTCCACGTGTAAATTATTATGTACCTCTCCCGCCTGCGCTCAAGGGAGTACAGTTTTAGGCTCTTTAGTCGGTCCCAATAGTTTAGATGTTTTACTGAGTGGATTCTAGCAGTAAAGGATCTCTGCACGCTCTCCAGGTCAGCAATTTCTCCAGCTTTGAAAGGTGCTGTCATTGTGCAGCAGTACTCCACTCTAGAGAGCACAAGCGTTTTGAAAAGTATCATCATCGGTATAGCATCTCTAGTGTGAAAAGTTCTTGTTATCCAACCTGTTATTTTTCTTGCAGTTGTGACGGCTACTTTATTGTGTTCTTTAAAGGTATGGTCTTCCGACATGAGTACACCCAGATCCTTTACATTGCCTTTTCGTTCTATGTTATGATTTGCCTGAGTTTTGTAGGTGGTTTCCGTTTTTATATTTTCATTTTTTCCATAGCGCATGAGCTGGGACTTATCTTCGTTAAACACCATATTATTTTCTGTAGCCCATAGAAAGACCTGATCTACATCTGACTGGAGGTTCGCCGTGTCCTCTATGTTGCCTACTCTCATGAAGATCCTAGTGTCATCTGCAAAGGATGATACAGTGCTATAGGTTGTGTTCTTGTCTGTCCGATATGAGGATGAAAAAAAGTACTGGAGCAAGCACAGTACCCTGGGGGACTGAGCTCTTCACGGTTGATGGGCTGGATTTTATTTTGTTGACTATTACACATTGGGTTCTGTTGGTCAGGAAATTGTAGATCCATCTGCTTATTTTTCCGGTAATTCTTTTTGAACGCATTTTATGTGCAATAACACCATGGTCACATTTATCAAAAGCTTTTGCGAAATCTGTGTAAATTACATCAGCGTTTTTTTTGTCTTCCATAGCATCTAATGCCATATCATAGTGGTCCAGCAACTGCGACAGGCAAGAGCGCCCTGTTCTGAAACCATGTTGTCCGGGGTTATGGAGATGCTGTGATTCCATGTATTTTGTGATCTTACTTCTTAGCACTCTCTCAAAAATTTTTATGATGTGCGATGTTAGTGCTATCGGTCTGTAATTTTTTGCCTCTGCCTTATTTCCTCCTTTATGAAGTGGTGCTATCTCTGCTGTTTTTAGTATATCAGGAATAACGCCAGTATCTAGGCTTTGTCTCCACAGAATGTGGAGGGCCTGCGATAGTGGTTTTTTACAGTTCTTTATGAATATGGAGTTCCAAGAATCCAGGCCTGGTGCAGAGTGCATAGGCATACTGTTTATGGCTTCTTCAAAATCCAGTGAAGATAGGGAGACGTCTGATATATGATTTGATGTTGGTATCATATCCATGAAAAATTCATTTGGGTTATCAATCTTTAGTGTGTTTAATGGCTCGCTGAAAACAGAGTCGTACTGCTTCCTCAGTAGCTCGCTCATATCTTTGTTGTCATCGGTGAAAGTTCCATCTCCCTTTCGCAGGGGCCCGATACTAGATGTGGTTTTTTATCTTGATTTTGCATAGGAGAAAAAATATTTCGGATTTCTCTCTATTTCACTGATGGTCTTTTGCTCTCTCTGCCTCTCCTGGGTTCTGTATGATTCTTGTAGCTTCCGTTCAATTGTTTCTATTTCTCTACCTAACCTTTTTCGCCGTTCTTGAGATAGGGTGCGACTCTCAAGTTGTTCCGCGATTCGTTTTCTTCGCCTATATAGGGAACGACGTTCCCGTTCCAATGTGCATCTCTTCCTCTTTTTTCTTAGAGGTATGCGGTTTGAACATATTTCTAGTGCTACTGAGCTTATTTTTTCCTGGCACTGGTTCAGGTTTGCATTTTCTAGCTGTTCTTCCCAGTTTATTTCTGTGAAGTCCTGGTTTATTTGCTCCCAGTTTATTTGTTTATTATTGAAGTTGAATTTGCTGAAATCTCCTCCACCAGGAATCTGGACTGGTTTTGAAGGTCTACTCCCCATGGTTGTCATAACTTCAATTAAGTTGTGATCTGAGTAACAGGTATTTGTAATCATTATTTTCCTGATCAATTCATCATTATTAGTGAAAATGAGGTCCAGCGTGTTCTCCTTCCTAGTTGGTTCTACTATTTGCTGGTTTAAGGCAAACCTGTCGCACATCCGTACTTATGATTTCATGTGTAATAATATTGAGCCACTATATTTCATTATGTTTTTATAATGAACTAACTAGCTGTCACTTAAAGTAAGACTAGGCTAGGTTTATGTTAGGTTAAATTACGTTAGACCAGGTCAGTGTGAAGTATAATACTCGACAATCTAGTTCGAAGTCGACCAATGTACGATTTATTTGACTCCCTCAATCTATCTATATAAAAAAAATAGAAATGTTCGTTTGTTCAAAATCGCTAATCTCCGAAAGTTCTTCACCGATTGCTTTGAAATTTTCATACAACGTTCCATTCGCATCTGAGCGGGTTTTTATATACATACTATATAGATGTCACGTGTGTGACGAGAAAAAAATATGCTTCTTTGGAAAAACTTTTTTTTCGTGGATTTTTCATGTGAGGGAAATCTTCGAAACCTCTTTACCGATTGCTTTGAAATTTTGACACACTTTGCATTTTAATAGGTGTGTGTTTTTATGTACCTACTATATACATGCCTCACCTGTGACAGGAAAAAAACATTTTTTTTTAAACAGCGCCATCTGTTGTACGTAAGAGTAACACACGCTGTTGTTACGGTCACTATGGACCAGTAACCAGGTTCTTGATGGATGAACCGTCTTTGTAGTATCCGACCCCAAGTCGTTAATACGGTTTCAAGATTTGGCTTTATAGTGCAATGAATAAATAAGTGGGCGATGAAGAAAACACTGTTCCCTTCACCAATGTATTTACACTTAAACCCTTAATTATAATAAGTAGACTATTAATACACTTATGTACATCGGTATCTCTTTCACTCAGGACACTGGGCGCTCACATACAGTGTTTGCCAACCCCAGCGTTTCTCTCACCCAGTACCTTGTCCAACCGTACTGGGAAACACTGGCGAGTTTCACTTTGTATGTCGGCCAGCCCACCGACACAGTATCACGAGATGCCTATACCCTCGACCGCTCTCCAGCCACTTGCTGGCAGAGGACCTCAGCCACACGCTGATCAGGGCCACAAAACAAACAATACAGGGGCAGCGAACCCCTGGCAGAAGCCTCTAGCGACCGGCTAGCAGTGCTTCCCAACAGGCACCTCACTGTCGTCCATTTCTCTCTTTAGCCAGTCCTTGGGTACGCCGATCTCTGCCAATACTATGTAATCAGCAGTCAATACACTGCTTCAGATTGGCGGCGACTTACTTAGTGGTCTTCCAGAACTAAATCAAGAGAATGTAGGCTGCCCAAGCACCCCCCACACGTCACTTCTGTGGAGACAAACACGTCATCAGTTAACTGGACAGTACACTGGGGAAACCAGGTAACACTTACTGGGGGGGGGGGGGGGGGGGGGGGTTGACATTATGCACGTAGCACAATCTAGGTGACGCTGATCTTGATCCGCCACCTCACCAGAGGTCATCCACAACAGCCTCTGGCTGGCCAAGGCAGGACACTGGAGCTATTTGCCGCTGTTACGCCAACACCAATAGATGGGGTTATCTACGTAGCGACCAATTCCAGGGGAGTTTGAGTGCAGATCCATAGATGGCGCTGAAACTGCCACTCTACACTCCGTAACAACTGTAATCTCTGAAAATTCTTCACCAATTGCTTTAAAATTTTGACACAGCTTTCCATTCGAATACACGCGTGGTTTTTATATACCTACTATATTGATGCCACACTTGTGACAGATAATAACATACTTTTTTTTTAAACAGAGCTATCTATTGCATGTAATAGCAACACACGTTATACTAAATATGTTACGATTCCATTTCAATGTTTCCGATTGCATTGATAGATTGAATTTTCATAGATTTTGATTTATTAATTTTGACAATTATTTTGTGTTATATTGCATTGGAATTGAGCTGTTTTGTTTACCATACCGTTCATTTCGTGAGTATAATTTATTTTTGTATTTTCATTGTTTTATTCGTTTTTTAACTTTTTATTATATTTCAGTGATGGGAACATCAGATTATTTGATGTTCCCACTTGTCTTATGGCAACATCATATCATTTGGGAGTGCATCGGACGAGTGGGGAATGGTGGGGAGGATGAGGGGATGGGAGTGGGTGAGGATGAGGGGATGGTTGTGGGGAATGGTGGGTAGGATGAGGGGATGGGAGTAGGGAATAGTGGGGAGGACGAGGGGACAGGGCAGGGGGTAATGGTGGGGAGGATGAGGGGATGGGGGAGTTGGGAATAGTGGGGCTGAGGGAATGTAGAATGGTGAGGAGGGCAAGGGGACAGGGAAGTGAGGGATAGAAGAAGGATGGGGGAGGGAGGAATGGTAGGGACGATTAGGGGATGGGGGAGTGGGAGATGGTGGGGAGGACGAGAGGATGCAGGAGTGGAGGATGATGGGGAGGACAATTGGACGGAGGGGAGGGAAATGGTGGGGAGGACTAGGAGACAGGGGGAAGGTTGCTGTGGCTCGGCAACGCACATGCATTGCTGAGCCACAGCAATGCGTGGCCAGGTACAGCAGTTGCTGAGCCACAGCAATGCGTGGCCGGGTACAGCAGTTGCTGAGCCACAGCAATGCGTGGCCGGGTACAGCAGTTGCTGAGCCACAGCAATGCGTGGCCGGGTACAGCAGTTGCTGAGCCACAGCAATGCGTGGCCGGGTACAGCTAGTAATTATTAATATTAAGAGATTCGAGAGTTGGAGTCTCCTAGTGCCCTGACACCTTTCAGAGTTGTTGCTCTGAAAGCTGCCAGGACACGGTAACAGAGACTGACCAAAGACTACCATCAAAGTCTATCGTTCATAGGCTAACCCCAGACTGCTTGTCTTATGTCAGATCTTTCAAGAGTAAACAATTTTTTCATTCTAGACTCTAGAGTGCCAATCATGACTCTTTGTTTGTTATCTCTCAGGGCGGAGTGTGCCAGAGCCCACGAGACAGACCTGGAGGACCCTGACTCTCCCCGTGGACTTACACACTTCGGCAAGGTGAGAACAATATTGACCCTTCGTGGTTAGTCAATATATAAAATAACTATCCATTCATTATTCATCAATTATTATTCAGTCTTTTTAATGCTCTATAATTATGCTCAATCTTCATATTTCATTCTTGTTTTACTTCTGAAAATGGATTTCCTCATGTCAGTCAATACAATTTCAGTCATTGTTTACATTCATAAAATTCTTTATTATTTATTGGCAATCTTAGATAAATATTATTTTTCATAAAAAATACAATTTGGCATGATTCAAATGTGGCCTTATTAACCCGACATTTGGGGGTCAGTTGAGAACTTTCTTGAAAGGTTGTGTGCTAGTGTTTGACATATTGAAATCTGCCCGAAACGCTGTGCGTACTAGTGGCTTTACAAGAATGTAAATACTGTACTATCCAATGTATTCTCACAAACCCAATGTACCTTCTTGTATATATATAAATAAATAAATAAATAAATAAATAAATAAATAAATAAATTGAAGTACGGAGAAGAAGTATGTGCGTGTGTATTTACTACTTGCTATTTGTGTCTGCAGAATCGAGCTATTAGCTCCTGGACCCCACCTTTGTAACTTATCTAACTTATCAAATTTTTCTTTATTATATCTGCTACATATATTTCTCTCTAAAACACACACACACACACACACACACACACGAGCGCACACACATTCCTGGGATGCATCCCGTAGCAGATGTCTAACTCCCAGGTACCTATTTACTGCTAGGTGAACAGATGCATCAGGTGAAAGAAACTCTGGTAATTTTTTTTTCTGCTGCGGCCAGGTATCGAACCCGGGCCTTTACGACTACGACCTTTTAGCGCTTTCCACCCAGTCGCGAGGCCCCTCCCCAGTGTGCGTGTTTGCATGTAATTACCTAAATGTAGTTACAGTATGAGAGGTACGCTCGTGGTGTCCCGTCTTCCCAGCACTCTGTCATACAACGCTTTGAATCTACTGACGGTTCTGGCCACGACCACCACCACCTCACTTGTTCATTATAGCTTGGTTAGTCTCATCTATTAAGACTCCAACTGGGTTGTTGTTTGTTTTTTTTGGGGGGGGGGGGGTTAACCTCTTGTATAGGCATAGAAGAATTTTGGATCTTTCTTTATGTTTTGGGCAAAGTTTTCTTTCGTAGATCCTTTTGGCATATCTGATTTTCTGGGAGGCCGAGTTTAGTGCCCCTTTGTATAACTCATAATCAGTGATGTCCATCGTGGATTTATACATTCTCCAGAGGTTTCTCTTGGTTACCAATGCTTGTTTTACGACCTGTGTCATCCATCTAGTTCCCTTTCTTCATTTCGCCACATACTTTTTAACGAGTTTCTCTTTCATTCCTTGACAGTCACCTCGGTGGCAATGTAGAAATTCATCACCTTTGACCTTTATGTGGGTTAGCCCTCATACAGCATGTGGGCTCTGCCACATGCTGTATGAGGAAGGAGGCCTGCACAAGGTCGAAAAATCGTTCACCTTCTGCTTGTGATACTAGGTTGATCCAGTCTTTGGTCTCGTGGTTAAAGTCCCCCATTATTAGGGGTTTGGGTTTCAGATGCCGCATTGACAACATTTTGTAGATCTGCAATTTCTTCTGCGGCTGTTCAGAGGAGCTGTTCGCAAGATGCAACTGTGTGATGGCTCTCAGCTTGACTATGTAAACAGATTCAAATACCTTGGCCTTGAGCTACCACTGTATGGTCCTCTTGTATTCAGATTCTGTCGTCAGTATAAGTCATATATTCGAGAGGCTCCGAGCTCTCAAGATTGTTGCAGGTTATCATTCAGGCTATGGTGCCAATGTCAGCATTGTCAAAATGATGTACCTTGCATACTTCAGATCTTTAGTGGATTATGCTGCACCTCTGCTTTCTTTAATGCCTGAAAGAAAGCTTGGAAGGCTTGACAAATTGCAGAACGAAGCCTTGATCCTTGGGTGCCCTCGTACCACAAAGATAACATGAGAAAGGAGCTTAATATTCCGAGCGTTGATGATCATGTTACTGAAATAAACTGTCGAAATTGTATAAAACTGCTTCTGGTAGCTCATCCTAACAGAAGCCCTCCAGAATTTCTTTATTGAAAGTTAACATTATTCCAAATAGATAACTAAAACTGCAACTGAACTCAGAATGTATCAAATTTATAATTTGTACCAAAAGAGCCAACAACGGCACTTTCCTGCACCGTGGGAGATTACACCCTGTCCAATTTTAATCCCCTCCCTTTCCACCCAAGACGCAAATTAGAGATCAGCCCAAGCTTCGTCTTGAGGCAAAGCTGACCGCCTTAAGCCATATTGATGCTCTGTCCACAGAGCCTTCTCTCTCTCAAACCATATACACTGATGGTTTCCTACACTGCCTAATGGGTGCAGCTGGAAGTGCAGTTGTCCTGACAATGGGCAATGGCTTATATTTTGAGTGGGGAATCCGTATAAACAACTTTGCCTCAACCCTTCAGACAGAACTATTTGCCTTGCTTCTTGCACTGAAATGTGTACAAGTCTCCAAAATTGATACATTAATTGTAAGTGACTCTTTATCATTCTTAATTGCTCTCAACTCTTTAAGACATAATTGTAACATGCTCGTGTCCGAAGCTAGACACAAATACAACAAAATTATTAATGTTGGTAATAGGTGTCCATTTGATGTGGAGTTCAACATGAGTCCATTTTATGGTGGCCTCCGAATGCATGATAGACCCGTTGAATTAGCCAAAGAATCTGCCTTTAAACGTGAAATTGAGATTGTCCTTGGATTCTCAATAAGCAGTATGAGAGCAATAGTACACAAAGAACTTCAACAAAATAAAATAGTACACAAAGAACTTCAAGAAAAGACACCAGTAATTCCATCTATCATCATACTATCATGCAAGAGGAGCCACACATCTATGGATCATCCAATAAAATCAGCAGACTTCTATATGTTACTACTGCTCGGGTTAAACTCAGTTACAAGTATCTCTGGGAATTCTCATTATCTGCTGATGTAGACCTGACCACATGTAAACTGTGTCAAACTTATTCGCACACCCTCCGTCACTATGTGATGGAGTGCAAAAAGATACGTGAATTCAGAGACAATTCTATAGCAAAATTTTCAGAGATGTGAAAATATTTCATTCGAAATGATCTGCTACCAGAAATCTTAGCAAAATATCCCCAGTTTGCTGACTGAAGGTAGTAACTAAGTGATTGTAACCTATCCACTGCTGTCCACTGGATGGGGGGGCGGTGTGTATGATAAACATATCAACTGTGCAACTACCTCCCCATATATGTCGGTTGCTTAATTTAGAAACTGTATTTGTGTTCGGTCTCGAGCCCATTGTTGATGTGACGATGTGTATTGAATTTTGTAACTAGCTCATCAAGATCGCTAACTAGCTTAGCTAAATGAATTGTGGGGTTCAATCCTTGAGCCCATTATGTGTCTCTGTAACACTTCTCACTACCGCCCACAAGATGGGTATATATGTTCCCATATATGCTCCCACTTCCTTAGTCTTTTACTCACCCCTGTCTCTAATGATATTGTTCGTTTGATTTTATGCACTATTTCACAGGCTTCCAATCCCTCACCTTGTAGAAAAAATATTTTCCTCCTTCGTTTCTGTTTCCATTTAGACGTTTCGCTTCAAGGTTTAATTTTAGCATTTCTCTGTCTTCCTTTGAGAAGTTTCGTCTTAATGACCAAAGTTTCCCATCCTCATCATTCTGCAGTTTTCTGGCACTCCTAAGCACTTCTGTCATTTGTTTCAGTCCATTAAATATCACCCTTAAGGGACCATTCTTGCCATTCTTATATTTGCCTATCCTCATAAAATCATTGACGTTTTCCTTTGTTGTGAGGCCTTTTCCTAACCCTACTATTTTCTTAAAGATTTTTTCCTCTTCTGCTGCTCTTTCTATCTTGGATAATATTTCATTTTTTAAACACCCAACAATTATTATGGACTTGCTTCTTTTTGTAGTGTTTGTACTAATTTACTGTTGGTAACCAGTTCTTTCCTAATTGCTTGTCTAATTTCTGAATTTATAGTTTCTTCAAAATATACTTCCTTGATTGTTTTTTCACAACTTGCATATGTTTCTTTAATTCTTCTTTTCACTTTTCCAGTCCTTTATTAATTTCCTCTATTTGAGGTATCAGTGAAGTTTCTCTTAGCATATCCTTACCTTACAATATGTTAGCCTGTAGGGTTACTTTAAGTTGTTCATATAGGAGTTTATTTTCATGTTAATTTCTTGAAATTCACCCCCTCTTCATTTCCCACATCTCGTTATTTTTACTAGTTCCTTGATTTGTACCTCCTGTATCCTTATCTTTTCAGTCAAGTAGGTAATTTCCTTACCTTGCTGGAAACAATTTTCTTCTAAATTACGAAACTCAATCTAGAGACCTTCATTTTCTTATACCAATTTCACAACTTTTTCTTCAAATTTCTTCAGCAAGTCCTTAATAGTGACTAACCTGCCAAGAAAACCTTCGTTCATTATATCGTGGGCTGAGAATCCTTTGAAAGATTCCTCTGTTCGAGTGTTGTTCTCCCCTGTGGTAGCAGCCATCTTTGTTGCTGACAGTCTTCTGTTTTAAAATACCAGCTTTATCTATCATGGTTTTCACTCGCTTTAACTAATTTCTTATATCTCTTACTTTTTCCAAACTCCCTATACCTTCATGTATCCTGGGACACCACTTGCAGCTCTCTACCTGCACCACAATACTTAGGTAATTATGATACTCCTGGAGCCTGCTGCAGTGTGTCTGCTGCCTCCTGGGTGTGTGTGTGTGTGGGTGTACTCACCTAGTTGTATTCACCTAGTTGTGTTTGTGGGGGTTGAGCTCTGCTCTTTCGGCCCGCCTCTCAACTGTCAATGAACTGTAACTGCTAACTATTTTTTTTTCATACCCACACACACACCCAGGAAGCAGCCCGTAACAGTTGTGTGCTTGCGAGTGCGTGTGAGATCT